TTTTTTTTTTTTTTTTTTTTTTTTACAGTATATCTTGTTTATACTGTGCGTTAATTTTTGCTGGTTGTACTGCACAGTACTGTAGTTTTATGTTGTCCTACATTACAGCACTGCATGTAAGAGTTACGCAAATAAAAGCAAAGTCATCAAGTTGGAGTTCCCTCCGACTGTGTCTTTGTTGTATGAATGTTGTAATATACGTCCTATATACAATTCCTCATTTAGCAACCTATTTGCAGGAACACAATTCAGTGGTTAAGTGACTACTGTAACTGTATCTGAATGTTATAGGTAATTCTACATGTTTTTTTTACTTCCAGAATTCTCTATAAAGAGCTTCTTTTTTTTGGGGTACTGGGGCTCGAGCTTAGGACCTTGTGCTTGCAAGGCAGGCACAGCACCACTGAGCTAAATCCCTGACAAGAGCTTTATTTTTATGACTAGATTTATAGATTAGAATATTGATAGGGGCTGGGGATTTAGCTCAGTGGTGCCGCCACCTGCCTCCAAAGTGCAAGGTTCCAAGTTTGATCCCTAGTACCAAACCAAAAAAAATAAATAAATAAATGCATAGATAGAATATTGCTTAAAATAAAGTTAAATGAGAATACTTTAAAATTTTTACAGGAAAGTTGAAATTCACTAATCATGCTTTCAAAAATTCTCTACACAAAATACAAACCAAACATTTAAAAATCCTTAATAAAATTCCAACCCCATTTCCAACTTGATGCCAAATAATTGCTTGGATATTTACATAGATTGTTTTCCTATTTTATTTCCTAATTACAATTTTGGGATTCAAATCGTGTGACCAACAATATCAAAATATAGAGGACTGGGGATTTAGCTCAGTGGTGCTGCTGCCTGCCTGCAAGCGCAAGGTCCCGAGTTCAATCCCCAGTACCAACAAACAAAACAAAACAAAACAAATCATACAACTCAAGCCGTAGACACAAATTCCACCGTTCTAACTAGGACTGGGACATAAACAACTTGTTTTGTTTCCATTTCCTTTTCTGTAAAATAATAGCACTGGCTGTACTCCCAGGCAGCTTTGTGAAGGTTAAACATGCTGCTTTTCATAATGCAACTTAGCACTCAATGTTTAACCATTACAACTGTTACTCATCTGACATATCTTCCCAAATATTCAACAACTGAACACCTGCATATGGCAAACATCCAATGAACAAAATGTCTTCTCCCACCGGGAACAGAAAAAGAAGGTGAACGCTAAGTTCTCCCACAATGGCTTCTGATGCCAGGAGCCCAGGGTTCACTCCCCTTCCTCTCTGCAGCCTTCTTTCTGAAGGAGGGGCAAGGAAAGGAAAGGAGGCCGGAGGCTACTATGAGCTTATCTGTGGTCTTGGGAAATCCAGAGGATACCCCAGGAATTCACCTGTGAGTGATGCATCTTCCTTTAAATTTTTTTTTTCAGAAGTAGTATAGGAACTGAAGAGACCCTACCTGATGAATTTATCACAGCCCTCTGCTTTCTGAGACCCCTTTATCATTAGATACTAGTTGGGGATAAACCAGGAGTTAAAGAATGCTGTTTCGTATCTGGCCAGAACATCACTTGTTCAGCACGTTTCTTAAAAGAGGGATGAAAATTGAAGATTTTCTCAAAAGAGTTCATGAATTTATAAGAGTATTCCAGCCAATATAATAAAACCTGTTAAGAATAGCAAAAAAGAAAAGAGGAGAGGCAGTAGCAGAGGAACATACTCCTTTGCCATCAGTATCAAAAGGAGCCCGTGGTACTTCAAGGAGCTCCCACAGAAAAGAACACTTTTCTGGTTATTATAATAGTACTAATACTAACAGCCAACACCTTGCCACACGCGTGCACTGTTCTAAACATTTTACTTGTGCTGTACCCCTGAGTCTGAAAACAAACGTATAAGGTGAGTGGGTACCGGTAATACCCCCTTCTCACCCGAGCGAAAACCAAGACACAGAAAGATGCTCACTCACCTTTACGCCGCTAGCCGCGATAGGACGTGAGGGAGGTGAAGGAAAGCAGGCTGGGCAGCGGAGAACCGACGAGATCCACAAACGCAGTCGGATCCAGGTCCCTCCGAGCCGGGAATCCGCAAACGGCCCCAAAGACAGGGGCTCGGGAGAGCGGATGCCAGACAGCCGCTCACTACCCCTCACTGCCGCCCTCCGCCGTCTGCCGCGGCTTCTTCCTCAGGGACCAAGGGCGGGTCTCACTGATCCTACGAGTAGGCCATAAATGTCAAAAGAGGTCGAGGGGTTTCCAAGTCACTCACCTCCCTAAGAGAAGCGCAGGCCGTGGGCTTAACATCGGACAGCGGAAGTGTCCAGGCTACGCGGCGCTTTGGAACTACAGTTCCCAGGATCCCACGAGGCTCCGGACCTCTAAACCCGCCCACAGGACAGTAGCGCACGCGCAGACTCGCGCAGCCTGAGTCGCGTTTCCCAGAATCCTTCAGCGGCGAAAGTTTCCTATTTCCTCCCTCAGGTAGCCGGAATGGTACCAAATGTGCAGCCGTTGGGTCATACTGTAGTTTCTTCTTTCCCCAGTGGAGCAGTGATCATAGTCGCACTTTGCTGGCAAAAGTGCGGCAATCATAGAAAGTTTTTAGGTTGCACATCCCAGAATCTTGTGTAAGCCTGAGCTTCCCGCCACCCTGCAATTTTTAGATTAACAGTTGAAGTCTCCGTCCATACTTGGAGAGCTCAACCCGCGTCCTCATTTTCTCGTTGCTTCCTTGAACACGTGTCAGAAGTTAGAAACATGAAAAAATAGAGAATAATAATAAAGGCATAGGTCCCGGAATTTAGCCACCGCCTGCCTTGCAAGCACAAGGACCTGAGTTCGATCCCTGGTACAAGTAAATACATAAATGAATAAATTTAAAAGGGCATGCTATGTATAAACTAATACGTAAAACAAGGGGCGGTTTAAGCCACACTGAACGAGCTTTATTATATGGCCCCAACTTGGCTTGTCCCCCACCCTGGTTCATCGACTTTCCTCATAGAAAAACAATTTCAGGATACAGCAGTGAAAGGAGTAGGTAAATTTATTAGAGTTAGAAAGTAAAGGGAATTGGGCTGGGGATGTAGCTCAGGGGCACAGCACCTGCCTAGCAAGCAGGAGGTCCTGAGTTGGATTCCAGTACAAACAAACAAGGTAAAGAAAATAAGGAAGGGGCTTTAGCTTGAGAAGCTAAAAGGGTCATTGCTCTGAGGGAGAGAATCAGACTGACTCATTAACAAAACAATGGGCCTGGCTTTTATGGGTTCACTGGTGTGGGCTAGGGGCTGGTACCTTCTATTGGATCACTAATATAACATGACTTTAGATGTCTTCGTCATGTTTTAGGTGATTTCATCCCTATAGCGAATGGACTAGTGGCTGATCTCATCCTTGGAGAGAAGCTGGTGTCTTGCCCTGTTACATTGCGCTTGGTCCTTGCAATAGGAGTAAGGATACCGGGAGGGTGCATTCCATACATTGCTAGCAAAGGAGCTAGAGAAAAAGACATGTCTCCATCTTTAGTGGTTAATAGATCAAGGCCTGACAGTTGCGTAGGAGTATCTGATCTATTTCACAGCCATGGAGCAAAACATGAAATAGAGACAGTAAAATTCTCCACTTCTCTTTAACAGTGTCTTGCATTGGCAGGGAATTGGAGAAAATACTACTGAAGTTTTGGGGCAAAAGCCCTGGCTACAGAGGCTCCATCAGGCCAGATTTAGCCACCCAGTCCAAGTGTCAATCAAAGAGACAAGCAGGGAAAGGCAGGAAAATAATTTTAATCACCTTGGCCATGCTGGAAAGGACAGAGTTACAAGATCTGTCTTCAAGTAGCTTAGAGTAACTTTGAGGTTTTATAGAAAGGGAGAACAGAGCTAAAAGTTTAGGATCACCTAGCTGGGAGGGGGGCTTAAAAAATTGGCAGGAGATATCCTGGTCAAGGCATTGCCTGGTTGTGTCACTAGATAGTCTTGATTCTCAGGGTACACCAATGAGAGGCATAGGCAGATTTATAAAGCAGAGTTAAAAAGTTAAGGGGAGACTTGTAAGAAAGCAGATGCTGGGATTCAGAAAAACATGAGGCCAGCAGCCTTGACAGGGGTAGGACTCATGGTGATCATCCTGCCTTAGCATCCTAAATGCTGGGGCACAGGTGTGTACCACCACACCCTGCTTTGGGGGGGTGTGTGATGTCATACCTGTGAGGCCCAGCTTTTCCTGGACTCTGAGGTGTTTTTCATGTGTAGGTTTAAAGACTTCTGGGCATTGCTTTAGCGGAGTCTGGGACTGAATGTTCTTAAAGCTAGCAATCAAGTGTCTGTGCAAGCCTTAAAAATTATTTGTGACTCTTTTCTCGGTGTCCTCAGGCTTGAAAGAGGGTAAGATAGACTAGGTAATTTTAGGGCTAACAAACCCTGCAGCACAGACACTCTTTGTGTGATTAAAATGTCTATGTGAAGAGCTGAGCAAGGATCTGACCTAGAGTTTCAAGAGAAATAATGGAGTTTCCTGGTGTCCTTTCTGCCTACATCTTTTCTACCTATGGTTCATATTTCCTACTTCAGTTGCCACTTATCTAGGGGCTGCTTATGTGGAGCTCTCGAGTGTCATCAGCACTTGAGGGAGCAGTTTGGTTTTCACTGTGGGATAATTGCTCCCCCTCGGGGAGGAGAGCTTCAGCTCCCAATGAGGGGCAATTCCTCCTCTTTGGAGAGGGTTTCCATCAAGGTTCATGTGTTCTGAGAGGCTTGGGCGTTTGGGTCCCTTATAAAGATTTCTGTTAACCAGACCTTCTATTCCCGGACTCTGGTGATTGCAGAAGAGAGCGGTTCATAAGGGAAGAAAAAGTGAGGCAAATGGAGTGAGAGAGACAAGTGGAGTTAGGCCAGTAACTGGGCCCACCTTCCAAAATATGTATGGAGTGGCGTCTGTTATTTAATGTCTGGAAAAAAGTACTTCTTTGAGCTGAGATTGAGAAATCATATCATTTATTTCCCACTCTTATAAATAAGGAATCTGTGGGACCGGGAATTTAGCTCAGCGGTGCTGTCGCCTGCCTCACAAGCACAAGGCCCTGAGTTTGATTCCTGGTACCAAAAAAAAAAAAAAAAAAAAAAATCTGTCTGATTCGAACAGCCAGTTGAAAGGGAATCCGTGAAGGGAGTTCAGTAAGAGGAGAGGTGGGGATAAGTGAGGCCTCAGTTACTCATCACAGTTCTAATTTGTATTAATTTTCATTTCATATTCCCATAGTGAATAACATAATACAAAACAAGGAATTTTTCATGTGTTACTTCTACATCTACATAGCTTCTTTGGTAAAGTAGCTTTTAAACGTATTTTATCCTTTTAAAAATTAGGTTATTTTTCTCTAGTATGGAATTCTTTTTTGAAATGGAGTATCACTACATACTTCAAGCTGGTCTTGGACTCAGAGCAGTCCTCTTGCCTCAGCCTCCTGAGTGCTGTGATTATAGGCGTAGGCCACAGCCACTCCCAGACTTAGTATTGAACTTGAAGAGTGGTTCATATCTTCTAGATAGAAGATTTTCATCATATATATGCTTTGCAAATATCTTTTCATAGTCTACAGTGTAATAAATACTTGGACTCCATTGTTATGTTCCATTGCTGATAGTTTTTAAGCCTCAACCTGTACTCTTTCTGCTTTGTACCATACCTGGGCAAGCTGGTAAGGAAATTCAGATACTTCCTCTTTAGTGCGGGTGGGAGACTGTTTCAACCAGTCTCCTGCTCTTGGGCAAAGACCTTCATGCTGCCCTACTCCCTCAACACAATAAAAATTCCAAGCCATTCTCTTTCTTTGCTCTCCAAAGCCTTTTTCACACCAGATTGAGAACCAACTTACTCTCCTCTCCCCACAAGGCCCTACATGTGAATAATCTTTGCATACCCTTGTATGTGTGTGGCATCCTTGATCTCAACAGCCGAACCATTTTTGTAGGAGTTCATAATTTCTCTGTAGGGTGGCAATGTTTTTTCCTTCTTTTAACAGTGAGTTTTGAGGTCTCTTAATTAAATCCAGAATATTAGATTTTCCTTGTTATGAATGGTACTGAGAAATCATTGCCTAATGGATGGTTCAAGTTTCTTTTGTTTTCTTCTAGATCTACTGCTTTAGGTTTTGCATTTAGATCTAAAATTGACTTTAAATTAACCTTGGAATATGATGTAAGGTATCAATCAGATTTTTGTATATGGATATCCAAGCGGTCCAGCACTGCCTTTCAAAAGCACTCTGCTTTCACCACTGAATCACTTGGGCACCTTTATTAAAACTCAGGGTTAGGTGCAGTTGTGCACCTGTTGTCTCCAGTACCTGGAAGGCTGAGGTAGGAGGAACACTTGAGTCCAGGAGACTATGTTGGGCAACACTGAAAGACACCATCTCTACCCCACCCCCCAAAAAAGGAAAGAAAAAAATGTCAATTGCTGTATTTTGGATCTGTCTTTCCATTCTCCCTTGTGTTCCACTGATTTGTCTGTCTACACCAACGCACATTTTCTTCAATACTGTAATCTACTAAGTTTTCTAAGCAATCGAGTTAGCACTCCAACTTTGCCCCTCTTCGAAGTTGCCTAGGCTGTTCTAGGTCATTTGTGTTTTCACATGAATTTTAGAATCAGTCTGTAAATTTTAAGGACAAACCAACAAACAAGAAAAACCACTGGGGTTTTGATTGTGATGCTGGGGTTTTAATTGTGGATGTGTTGCAAAAAATATACAAGTCATCTGATTCACGAACATGCTGTATCTTTCCATTTATTTACATTCAAATTTTTTCTCAGCAGTTATTTTATTTATTTTTTATTTTTCATTTTTTTGGTACTGGGGATTGAACTCAGGTCCTTGTGCTTGTGAGGCAGGCGGCAGAACCACTGAGCCAAATCCCCAGCCCTCAGCAGTTATTTTAAATTATTAGTGTTAGTATTATGTATCTTTTGTTAGATTCACGCATAAGTATTTGACACTTTTTCATTCATATTCAGGATTTTTTAGGGGTGTTACTGGGGATCACACTTAGTGCTAATACTGAGCTACATCCCTGGATCTTTTTATTTTTTATTTTGAGTCAGAGTCCCATTGAGTTTCCCAGGCAGGACTTGAACTTCCATTTGTCCTGCCACCACCTTTCAAAGTGCTGGGCCTATGGGCATGTGTCATTGAGCATTTTTAATTTAAATTTTCAGATTGTTGTTGTTATTAAAATGCAATTGATATTTGAACATAATGAGCTTGTATTTTCCAATAACTTTTTTTATTAAAGACAAGGAATGTAAATGTCCCTTATTCTATTGTAAATAGAAAGGAATTTAATACCATTCTTTCCATTTCGCTTAAAGTAAAGTTTGTGCTTCTCAGGCCTACTTTCTGATAATGCTAACTAAAATTTCAGAGGTCACCCTTGAGCCCACTGTTTCTCCTAATAACAACATAAGCAAGACACGTTTTCAGAAAGACAGAGGAAATATCCCTTCTTTCCACACGATGCAGGGAGACACAGTTCAGCATCACAAAGACAGCTCAGGAAATACAATGTGACTAGGTGTCCATCAGAGAACTTAACCAGACTTAACCTTTTTCTTCTACACAAATCAGAGGTTTACTTGAATATTTACACCTGTAACTTTGTGTGTGTTCCACTTTTACTATTTTTCATTTTTAGAAAGGGTCTCACTGCATACCTAATTTCCCTGAGTTGGGCTCAAACTTAGAATCCTCCTACCTCAGCCTCCTCGGGGGCTGGGATTACAGGCTTGTGCCACCATAGCCAGCTAATGTAAACTTCTTATTCTACTTTATAGGATTCATATCTGTCCTTAGAAATATTTTTCATAAGTATTTTTGTAAAGTAGCTGTAATACTGGAAATTATTATTATATTATGTGGAAATGCCCTCAAAATAACCTATTTCTGAACATCTATCACTGATGTTCTGGTAAATAATGTTTAAGTGATGGCTCTATATCCTAAAGGTTTCAAATACTTGAGGTTTTCAAATAAGAAAGGAAATCAGAGCACTGCTCTCTTCTCCCTGCATACTCAAGACTAAAATAAATCCTACATCTGGGTAGGATTTCTTTTCCAAACTAAGAGCCTTCAACCCATTTACACCTCCAATTATTGTGATTTTATTCTATAGAATCAAACCCAGGCACATAAAATCATATGGAAAAATTTTTAATAAAAATATACCAAAATATAAGAATAATTAGATGTGTGATTTTAACTTCTTTCTCTCTATATCTTCTGGGCCACTAATTTTTCTTGTGTGCCAGTCCTGTATTAATTTCACAATAAGAAATACAAAGATATACCAAAGATGTAACAAAATTGCCTGATGGGGAGGCATATGTTTCAGTCATTAAGAGGACAGACTGAGTGTTAGTTCAGGACTAACACTGAAAATCAGCAGGGCCTGAAATGAAGTATACCTACCAGGTCTCGATCATCTGATCATCCTGTAGCTGTCACTCAGCAATACAATGAGACATTTTCACTGACAAGATTCTCCTTTGGTCCAGATTCTCCTCTGTGACAGGGAAGCCCCCTGTACATTCAAAGTCTGAAGAAGAAGATACGTGCATGAACAGGAGAGTATTTGGTACACAGCAGATGCTCAGTGAGTGTGGCTGCCCATCTCCAAGTCTTCACCGAATGACTAAAACAACACTTTGGGTACAACCCTTCAAAAATGTTTCGAAACCCTGTGTAACTGAGTGGGATTCATGTGTAACACATTCTTGCTTACTTTTGTCCTCGACTATAATGATTACTTAATATTACACCATTTCAATTTTCCTTCATTTGATTCTTTATAAAGATAATTTTACTAGGTGCCAATTATCCCATCACAAGATACACTGAAATTTACTTAACTACTCCCACATTTCTGGACATGAATTTTGTGTCACAGTCTTTGTTCTAGATGAAGACAGCTAAATCTTGCTCAAGCTCATTTGACAATCATATGACATTATAGACATTTTTCCCAGTTAAAAGAAGCACACTTACAAATATTTACCCCCGGCAAATGGTCTCACTTCAAAGGGTTTAATGTCACCTAGAAGCTCATCCATGGAATAAGAAGACCTTGGGTTAAGATTTCCTGCCCATTTGAGTATCTGATCACTTCTTCTAACACAGTCACAATGGGGCTGAAATTCCTATGTCTCACTGCTAGCCTGCTCTGAGCCACTGGTTGTATATGCACGACTGTCCTGTCAGGTGGTATGGGACATTCCCACCTGAGTGGTACAACCATCCAATGGGACAGTCACACATGTACCACGTTAAACTTGCAAGCACCCATTATGATCAACTTCATATTTGAATCTAATCCATAAAAAAATAGATAAATAACAAGCATGGTGACACACGGCTATAATCCCAATACTAGAGAGGCTGAGGCAGGAAGATGGCTGGGAGTTTGAGGCCAGTCTGGGGTACATAGTCAATTCAAGGACAGCTTGGACTAAAGAAGGAGGCTGTCTCAAAAAAACAAAAAAGTTGGGGCCGGGGATTTAGCTCAGCAGTTCGGTGGCCTGCCTTGCAAGCGCAAGGACCCCAGTTCAATCCCCAATACCAAAAAAAGAAAAAGAAAAAAAAAAAGTTGATGAGAACAATCCAGAACCATCACATGACACCACCTTTCCTTCTCCTTTTCTTCTTCTTCCTCTTCCTCTTCTTCTTCTTTTGTGGCACTGTGAATTGAACACAAGACCTCACACTGAGTTATATCCCTAGCCCAGTCTTATTTTGAGGCGGTCTCATTAAGTTGCTAAATTGCCAGGCTGAGCCCTAACTTGTGATCCTTGTGCTTCTGCCTCCCAGAGAGGTGGGATTTACAGGTGTGCACCACCACCACAGAAACTCTTAATATTCAGCAAGCTAATATTATGGAGCCAACTCTGTTCTAAAGAGCTTTACATATACTGACTCATTTGATATCACCGCAACCTCATTAGTTAGATGTTATTTTGTATTAATTTTACAGATGTGGCATAAAGCCAGTCAACTGTGCTCCAGAAAATGCCCCAAATAGGTGAAAAGGTTAGAGTCTGAGTCCCTGTCCAGACGCTCACACAGCAAATATAAGGCAGGGCCAGGATTCAAGTACAGATATTCTGGGTTCAACCCCTACTGTGACCGCAACACAGTGCTGCCTCTCACAAGCCACTCAATGCCAGACCCAAAACAACTCACGCTTGGCAATGTTACAGATTTTTATCCACAGATTATCTCAAAGTTCCTGCCCTTATTGGTGGAACCAAAAATCCCTGCATTAAAAAGCCTGATCACATTTCTGTCCCTAAAAGCCTCAGAAAGCTGACAATATTATTATTGTTCATTGGCTCAAATCTTGCCTTCCTTTAAAACAGCTTCTATTTTGCTTTGCTTTAAATTCACGACTGTGGGAAAGATTTGTTCTAAAATTTTGTACACAATACCACTTAAGTATTAATCTCCTCAAGTGATCGCAGTCTAAAATAAAGCTCTAACAGGAATCTCCCAGAGGTGTATTTCGATAACACAATACAGTAGAAGATGTGAACAATTTGCCACGGAACAAGTGGGTAATAATGGAGGAAAGGGACAATACATAACCACTGAGGAAAAGGATGTAGGATAGTGAGTCATTCTCCAGGAGGGAAACTCAGAATAGACCATAGAGTCAAGGTATCTTGGGCCAAAGGAAGTACTGCTCTCATCACCTAGAAGAAAAAATAATTATATGAATAAAAAAGAAACTCAGAACCCTTGATTTACAAATAGGCAAAAATTCTTTCCTCCTCCTCCATGTCCTCTTGGGAACCTGACAGCCCTGGGGAGAAATCATGAGTTGCCAGCGTGTCTCTTTTTTCTTGTGAAAGAAAGAAAGAAAGAAAAAGAAAACACACTTAGGGCCGTATCTATCTTCATCCACACATTTCAAAAAGCAGCTGGAGTCTGTCTCTGAGTTGACAGCAATTCTCAGGAATAGCAATCTAGTTGCAGTGACTATGAAAACATGTAGCTGGCACCTAAAGAGCTTGTAGAGGCACCTTTTCTAGGAATCCCATCTCTAAGATCCTCTAGGTTCTGTCTTCCCAGGAGTTTGTCACGAGGATACTTTCAGTGAAACATACAACCTTGGACAGTGACGACGAACTTTTTTTGGAATTTTCAAGGCTACAAACAGCCTGCTGCTCCACGCGTGCCCCAGATTCGCCCCTACTGTCCTGGGCTTAGTAGAGACTTGTTTTCTGGGGTCATGTAATTGTGGCAGAGCCAAAGACAGCCTCGAGGTTGCCCTGAGCACAGGGCAAAAGCAAACTATACCTAGGAATAAGACCATACAGCCCACCCCAGTCATACATTCTCAACCGCGTCCACAGTCACGAACACCCCCCCCTCAGCCCCGAAACGCCACCTGCCACACACTATGCCGCTCAGCTGTTGAGGTATGCTTGAAGCTCCGGGCACGGGATGTCCTATGCCAGCCTTTTTATCTCCAGCGCCTGCCGGGGCCACCACCGTCACACTCAGGGCCAGTTCAGATCGGGCTCGGTTGGGGACCTCGGAGAAGCCCTACCACTCTCCCCCGGCGCCGATTACCTCCTCAAACGCGACCGACTCACCACTCGTGGTCCAAGAACTTGAGAACACAGGAAAGGGACTCCAAAGTCCGATGTGTGTGTGGACACAGAAGCTTACGGGACATGAGAGCCGGGAAACAGCCCGGAACTGGGAACTGGGTCCGAGAAAACGCTCTCCACCCGCAAACTCGCCCAGCGCCCGAAAGCGCTGTGCTCCTGAGACTTCTGGGAAATGTAGTCCACATCCGGCGCTCCCTCGGAAGTCGGAACCCAGACAGCAGGAAGGTTCCCAGCGAGCAGCTGTTCTGTGCAAAGCATTTTGTCCGAAGCCGATCAGAACTCCTATTCTTTGCTAAAGGAAAGAGTTGCTTGGGAGAGCCAGTCGATTCGGTTGTCTTTAATGCAGCTAAGAGCAAATTCAGAGGTTCTCAGCAAAGGCTGAGGAACGCGTTCTGGAGTTCAAAGAGGGTGGTGATGGGAATGAGGGTGTTGGGGGACTCAGACTTGAGCAAACAAGAGCATCCCTGGGGGAGTCTGTAGGACGATCGGATGGAGATCTGGAGATTACCCGCTGAGAGTGCTGGGAGCCGTGTCTGGCAGTTGAACAGATGGGTGCGTCTTGCCCGGAATGAGTTTGGTGATCAGATTCGCCCTGGTGGAGTTAGCGAGAGTATGATTTCTAATTTCTTTGCTGACAGACACACAGCACAGAGCCCAGCCAGCTCCCATCCCTACACACCCTGGTATGCAGCAGAGTTCATGCTCTCGGGGACAAACCTTTAAGGCATAGGGGGTAATGAGGCAGGAGGTAGAGCGAGGATAAGCAAACAATATGTTGGGTGAAAATTGAGAAACTAGATAAAAAAATTGAGATACTAGATAAGGACAGTTATATCAAAAAACATCAAGAAACCAACAGATAAAGGTTATTTTATCCCCCAAAGACCTCCCAAGCATGGCCAAAACCAAAAGTACATGATTCTGGCCTTAACCCAACCTCATCTGCACTGCGGTTTTGACCGCACGCACATTTACCCAACCCCTCATCCCCGTTGTGGCTTTCAGATGCCATGACATTTCCGCTAAAAACCTTGTTGGTCAAAAACTCCCCCTCCTGACAGATGGGCCGAGTCAAGCGCCACGTTGGGCCATGGCTCCTGCTGATTGCCAACTGTAAATCCTCCCATAATCCCAGACTCTCCCCTACCCCGGTACTGGGGATTGAATTCAGGACCTTTCGCTTGTCAGGCAGGTGCGGTGCCACTGAGCTACATCTCCGGCCCCTATAATCCCAGACTTGAAGAGATGGAGTTGCCTGCCCCTACTGGAGCCCTGAGCTCTTTTCTCTGGCCGGCTCCCACCCTGGGAAGTGTACTTTCACTTTTAGTCAACCTTCCTCTGGTTACTCCTGAGTATTCTGCTCAATTATTTGGGATACCGAGAACCTTGAACTGGCTCCCCTGGTAACAACGATTGTTTATCCAAATTTGGCCCACATGTGTCTCACAGTAGGGTCAGCAACTCTGTGATTCCATCCTATGGTTTTTTTCCTCCACCCTTGAATAGATATTTGGGGTAGATAAGCTTTATCATCTGGTAGAATTCATCACAGTGGCTTCCTAACCTGTGAACTGAGAGCCATTATGATGTAAATAAATGGAAACCCTTGAAACTCAACACTATATCGTGGGAGGGGTTGCAGAAAGTTTTTCCATTACTGTAAACTTTGAGGATGCACAGTGATTTGTCCCTATCATAGCCCCATCTGTTTCACCTGGGCCCTACAAAAAACATAATGAGACTTCAGCTAGTGGATGTAGTAGATTGAAAAAATGCCTCAAACTGTAAACCAAGTAAATCTCTTTTTCTTTCTAAGTCTCTGGCAGCTACCAGCCAAATAGAACCAGTACTGGCTGTGGTGTTGGAGTATCCTGCTCAGTTCTTTGAGATAACAAGAACCTCGGACTGGTGCCCCGGATACAATGTTAAACTATTTAGTGCGTACTTCTAAAAATTATCTATTGTGCCGGGCGTGGTGGTGCACACCTGTCATCCCAGAACCTGGAAGGCTGAGGCAGAAGGACTGCTGTGAGTTCAGGGCCAGTCTGGGCTACATAGTAAGTTCAAAGCCAGCCTGAACTACATAGTAAGACTCTGTAAAAATAAGTATTATTTATAAGAAACTCAAATTTAAATTAGCCAATATTTTATCTGGCAACTCTGGGCAATGGGAAGGGCGGTGTCAGAAAGGGCGTTGGAGTGGAAGAGAGGAAGGGAGAATGGTCCTAGAAGTGGAGGAGAAGTTGGAGGACTTAGGCTGTGCCTGAAGGAGAGGCAGTACAGGGGTAGTGAGGGAAGCCGAGGGCACAGTGTGAGAAAGCTGGAGCGGTAGGGAAGGGGCAGGCATGGGAATCTTTGGAGGAAGAGAGACATCTGGGGGAGAGAGGGAACTGGAGGCATCCGAAGGCTGTGGGTGCACGTGGAGTGAGCCAGAGCCCAGGAAGACCCTTCTGCATCTGTGCGAGGCCCCGGGCCCTCACCCACTATGCGAACCTGAGTGTGTACAGGCTCAGGAGCCCGGGATGTGGCCGAGTTCCAGCACCGACGACGCTGGGACCAAAACTCCAATGACAGCACCCCACCACCCTCATGCCCTGGCTGTTCCTGGGGAACCTGACCTTTTCAGTTCTCCGAGCCCTGGGAGAACAGAAGGCAACACTTTTGTGACAATTGAGTGACCGTTGAGTGACAGTTGTCCTCCCCAACATCCAGATGGCTCAAAAGGTTCAGGGAGGGGGAAGAACTTTCTCAAGGACACACTGAATGCAGGATAGAGCTTGGGTCTCCAGGCCACATCCGATATCTTCCAATAGTACTTATTACCTTGTTTTTCACCTTCTGACCCCAACCATCCCTTTAGGTAGTCTTTAAATCCACTCTTACCTAATTTCCAAGTTTTGCTGCTGTTGACTGTGGGTCTCCCTATAACAGCCTTATCATGTCATCTGCCTTGTCATGAGCCAGTCTTCCACATCTGCCCCACCTGTGGGTGGCTTTCCACTGTCACCATGAACAGTTGTTTGTGTTGGGCACTGCACAAGAGCACTGTACTTAAAGAGATATCATTTTTGTCACAGACATCTTTATTATTTTGGAAAGACATATTTACTATTTTTGGAAATTTTTATTTCATGTGTTATCCCTTAATTGCAGAGTTTATGTGATTTATAATGTATTACAATCATGTCCCAGCAAGTAACAGTAAAGTGTCTCATGCCAACAGGGTTGATACCACCCTTTCTGCTTTCACTTCCTAAGGTGGCATCAGTTTGGAACTGGAGAGACCTTACTGATCTCATATCATCTAAAATATTTTATACTGGGCTGGGGATTTAGCTCAGTGGTGCCACCACCTGCCTCACAAGTCCAAGGTCCAGAGTTCAATCCCTGGTACCAAAAAGGAAAATAAAGAAATTCTATAATAAAATATCTTATACTAGGCTGGGGATTTAGCTCAGTGGCACTGCACCTGCCTCTCACAAGTGCAAGGTCTGGAGTTCAATCCCCATACAGGAAAAAAAAAATCTTGTACTTCTAAACAAAGCTGCTTTTTCACCTGATACATAAAACATCTTTTCTTTAAAAAAAAGTTAATGTGTGCACCTGGCTATATTTGGTATTTCGTGTTGCAGCTCATGTGTTGAGCTACTTGTTCACTGATACAGACTAGAATTGTTACGTTCCAAACTTAGACCTGTAGTTCCTTTCACTCAGTACCAATCACTGTAGGTTAACTAATATCCAATTACCATTAGTAAGCCACAAAAAATGTGCAGTGGTGTGGAAACTAGAGAGTATTATGTAATAGTTGATTTGTTAGATTCTTATGGCAGTTAATTATTTCCTGAGAGATTCCATCATTATGAAATGATCTATTATTAAATTCTAATGACTTGTTACCTCATATTATTTTAAGATGTGGAAATTCTAAGATAAAACATTTGACATCTATCAGGAAGGAAAGATAATTTGGATCAGAAAATGGGAAGCTATTATAAAAATTAACTGGGCTGTTGAAGAAACTTTTTGAGGAAAGAGGTGGGAGAGGAAATAAATTTCCACAGCTGCTATTTTGGCCAAATGTATCACAGATTCATTAATCATTAAGCAGAACAGAACATGAACTTGCCTTCTACTTTAAGTAAAAAAGGTTCAAAAAAATGACTGGGAAAGGAGGAAATGAACAATCTTTTAATTAATTAAATACAGACAGTCTTCAACTTGTGTTCCTGCAATAAAATACCCGAGGCTGGGTACTTTATAAGGAAAGTAGGTTTATTTGCCCAACAGTTCTGGTGGCTGGAAGGTCCAAACAGTACGGCATCGGGGTCTTAGCAAGGGCCCCATTTGCATCAAAACATGGAGAATTGGGCACGGTGGTGCACACCTATAATGTCAGCTACTGGGTAGGCTGAGACAGGAGGATTGTATATTTCAAAGTCAGACTGGGCAACTTAGTGAGACCCTGTCTCAAAAAAAAGTAAATAAAATATGAGCTTGGGATGTAGCTCAATGGCAGAACACTTATCAAGCATGTGCAAGGCCCTGCAGGCTCCCTTTCAAAATGAAACAAAAGCCATAATGGAGAAGCAGGAGGGGAACAGACCTCGTGCAGAAGAGTTGAGTGCGTCACGAGAACCACTGCAGTCGTCAGGAGACTGACGCACCCAGAGAGCAGTGTTAGCTCATCACGAGGGCGGAGCACCCGTGGCCTCGTTACATCCCTGGGGCCCCACCTTGTAAGGTTTCCCTCACCTCACCGTGCCACACCAGGAACCAGTCTTCCAGTGCACGAGCCTTGGGGAACAGGCCACATCTGTAGCAGATGGGCAGCTCTGACGCACATCATTTGAAAATGACAAGGTGGAGGTTGCACCCGCAATAGAAGATCGAACCTGGTGTACATTTTTTAAAAGCTCAAAGCAGGATCCCAGATAGTTACATATCCATGTTAACAGCAACATTACCCATAATAACTGAGAGGTGCAACCAATCTATCCAGTGAGGCATTAGAGTGAAAAGGGCAGGAATGGTCAGTTGAGACTTTCAAAACATGGGTATCCTCTTGAGTTCCCTTTAAAATTAAAGTAAGAAGAGATCACACAATGCATTTTAAAGAAACAGTGTTAAATAATTAAGTGGTGGTTGAATTTACTTTCATAATTGTTTAATAACTTTTGTATAACCATTACTTTTTGAGAGAAAAAAATCTATTTATCAAATATGTATAATCATCATCATGCCAACATCTGACTGCTGTAACATCTTTGTATATTGTTTAAATTGTAATTCTGAAAAAAAATTGTAATTCTAAATTGCATTTGTAAAATAATTCTTTCTGATGTTTTTATGTCATCTGTGATGATGAAAACTGGACTTTGATATCTATACATATGAACTATTCCATTTAAACTTTCTCAGCTGGGCGTGGTGGTGCATACCTGTAATCCCAGCACTCAGGAGGCTGAGGCAGGAGGATCACTGTGAGTTCAAGATCCCCCTGGGCTACATAGTGAGTTCCAGATCAGTCTCAACTACATAGTGAGACCCTGTCTCAAAAAACCAAAAAAATAAATAAAAATTTCTCAATCATCTTTTTTCTCTTTTGGTACCTGTAATTGGTTCTTTCTGCTGGTTTTTCTCCCGCAAACTCTGAAATCTTTCTGTATATGCTGTCAATGAGCAAAGTATCCTGGAACATTAGAAAAATCCAAAAAGAGACTTGCTTTCATCAAGCAATCTACCAAACTTTGAGCAAAGGTATCAAAGGCATTGAAAAAAAAAAAAAGTCACTGACTTTCAAATTCTTCTCTCTCTCTCTTCTTTTTTTTTTTTTTTTGTTGGTACTGAAGATTGAACTCAGGTCTTTGTGCTTGCAAGGCAGGCAGCAGAACCACTGAGCTAAATCCCCAGCCCAAAAAAAATCATCTCTTCTTTTTCTCAAGAAGAAAGCAATGGAAAAAAAATTCTGTTCCTTCAATAAATAAATAAATAAATAATTAAAAATCCAGCGATGGAGGATGGATAAACAAAATGTGGGCAACCGATACTGTGGGATTATTCTTCAGCCTTTAAAAAGTAGGAAATCCTGCTACAACGGTTGCAACATGGATGAACTCTGTGAACATTATGGTAAGTGGAAAAAAAAACCAGTCACACAAACCCAAATACTGTAGGAGTGCCCTTGTGAGGTGTGTACTCTATTCATAAAGACAAAGTAACATGGTAGTTGTGAGGTGCTGTGGTTGGACTGTGTCCCCCAAAAGTTCATGCGTTGAAACCATAACTCTCAAGTTTACAGGAGGTAGGGCCTCTCCGAGCTGGTTAGGACTCATGAGGTCACCAGGCCGGGGCCCCGATGGTATCAGTAGCTTTATCAGAGGGAGAGAAACCCTTGCTAGCAGAGTGATTTTATCGCCATATGACTCCCTTTGCATTTTCAGATGCAGGAAAAAGGCTCTCAGCAGGTGCCAGAACTAGAGCCGGCCATGCTCTTTTCAACCTGCAGAATCATGATCTAAATAAATCCCTGCTCTTTATAAATTGCCTAGTGTGTGGTATTCGGTTATTTCGACAGAAGATCCACTAAGACACCAGGGACCTAGGGAAGGGTGGAGGAGAGGAAGGGGCGCTTCTGTTTAACGAGTATAACATTTCCGTTTCTGGATATTGGCTGGGTAACAACACGCGTCTACTTAACACTACTGAGTTACAAAAATATTAAGCTCTGCTTCGAGAAAGAAATATTGACGCTGCAGGCAGAGTCTGTGAAAACAACAAGAGCAAACATTGGCACACAATATGTGTGATTCAGTTTCTAGGAAGGCAATCATTAGCGTTCCAGAAAAAAAAAGTATCCACAGTTCTGATAACGTCTCGCAGAATTCAGAGGCTGAAAGCAAGGCGTCCCACGTTGTTAGGGGCGAACACGTTTAAAAGGCATTTCAACTACGGTATGTTTGAACGTATTCTCTCTAAAGACCGTTCTGTGGTTTGCAACTTTTTAACGAATTTTACGGAGGACAAGTGGTAATCTGTACATAAAGACCTTGGTACAAGAATCTGCTTAATGTAAATATTAGTATAGACCCACCAATGTATTTTTGATATAGCAAAAGTTTAAGTTGCAAAGTGATATTCTGATAGAAACATGCAAAAGTTTTGAGAGTCCACGTGGGAAAATAGAAGGTTTTCAGACATTCTTAAAATTTTTGGTTAAAAATTTGGGAAAATTTTTCTTGACAGTGTTGTTTGCTCTCAGCTTGCATAGAAAATATACGTAATTAGTAGGTGTGGCCTCGGTTAACACAATACTTTTTGTTTTGGTTTTTGTTTTTTTTTTTTGCAGTGCAGGGTCTCAAACCCAGGACTGTGCTTGCCAGGCACTAAATCCCTAGCCCAACACGTGTTTTAAAGACTTGTGTACGACTGAGCTGTGGAAAGACCATATGTTAAATTCTCCTTGTATCCTTGTGTCTGTTCATTTATAGCTAAAGTGACTTCACTATTAATGTATACACACACACACTGAGAAAGGATCAGTTAAAAATTACTAGCAGGCCGGGATTTAGCTCAGTGGTGTCACAACCTGCCTTGCAAGCACAAAGTCCTGAGTTCAATCGCCTGTAACCCCCAAAATATATATATATTGCTAGAGCAGTTATGGTTTGGTTCCGAATTGTGCTCCCCAAAAGCACCTGTGCTGAACACCCAGTCCCAATGTAGCAATGTTCAGAGGTGGGCTGATCAGATCGTGAGGGCTTAACTGCACTGACAGATCAGGCCGTTGACAGATTAGTGGTTCGACGATGTTATCGGAAGGTAATAGAAATAGGAAGGGATTGGGTCAAGGGAGTGTGCTCTTGGGAACTGTACCTTGTCCCCAGTCCCTTCCTCGATGGTCCTCTCACCATTTCTGCTTCCTTTCCCCCCTTTGGTGAGCAGCTTTTCTCTGTCACGTCCTTCCACTGTGAAGTTTCTGCCTCACCTTAGGCCAAAGGTCATGCAACCAGGAGACCCTGGACTGAAACTGCAAAACTATGAGCCAAGATAAACTTTTCACTCTTGGAGTTGTTATTGTGTTCTTTGTTGCATCAATGGAAAGCTGACTAATACACTAAACGACCGGGTGTTTTTGGTGTTGTTGTTGTTGTTGTTGTTTTGGAGGTACCAGGGATGGAACTCAGGCCCTGTGCTTACAAGGTAGGCAGAGGAACCACTGAGCCAAATCCCCAGCCCAACCAGGTTTTATCTATTGCTGTATGTGAACACGTGGTATTTTGTCAACTGAATGACATAGCTGGAGACGGACGGTTTGCACATTTAATAATCTGCTTACAAAAACCAAATCTGGGGGAAATAATCTGAGAGGCCAGGTTTTTGCAAATGTGCATGGAAACGGAGAAACGGGTGGGAGCTGGCGGGCTGCAGCAGTGTATCCTGAGACACATCCGGGTTTTCAGGTTCTGAGGCCTGGGCAGACGCCTGTGAATGCTCGGATCCCTGCTGGTGAGGGCAAAAGGTAGGTGGTGTGGGTCTGGGGCAGAATCTCCTAATCTATTCTCTTTTCTTTTTCTTTCCTTTATTCTACAGGTTTTTAAAGATGGATAAGGGATAATGCAGCAAAAAAAAAAAAAATAAATCTTTCAGCTCTACTGAAATGTTAAAGATCATTCCATTACTGTTTTTAAACTTTTAATAAGTATAGAAATATATTAAACATACACACATCAAAAACAAATTTGAGGCTTGTCAACTGCGAAGGGAAAGTTCATTTGGTGGTGTCAGACCACCGAGAAATCTATTCAGGCCGGGCGTGGTGGCACAGGCCTGCAGTCCCTGCACTCTGGGAGGCTGAAGCAGAAGGGGAACAAGTTTTAGTCCTGCCTGTGACTCAGCGACTTGGTGAGACCCTGTCTCAAAATTAAAAAAAAAAAAAGAGGCTGGGGGTGTTGCTCAGCATGAAGGTCCGCGCTTGGGATCAATCCCCAGTACCACAGATGACAATAATATATTTGAAGCGACCACTCTGCCTTTTTGTCTTCTATCAGCGCTTCTTTCTATAAAGCCGGCCTCCTTGGCTCAGCTCATAGGAACCCTCATTCTGTTTCATGGTATGAAGTGTGAACAATTTCAGAACGACAAATAAGAACAATTAAGATGTTTAAATTGGGCCTGTGATGTAGCTCAGCAGCGCAGCACCTGCCTGGCAAGTGGGAGGCCCTGAGTTCGATTCCTAGTACCAAAAAAAAAAAAAAATCTTTAACTGAAGTTTATAGCAAATTTTGCCTTTTGCCACTAGTAATGGTCACTGGGCCCATACTGGCTTGGTGTGTTAGGCCTCATGCGAGAGTTCATTTAATGCTGGGGATTTGGGCAGGGCTCTTGTGTCTGCAGAGGGCTATAGGATGAACCCAGGCATTATGTTAGAACTGTCTTCTGTAATCATTACCTCCTATAATGGGGAACTTCCTACCTACCTCCTGACTCAGTCTCAAAAGTGCCTGAAGGTTATCGGAGTCACAATCTCTTACACACACACAAACACACACACACACACACACACACACACACACACACACACACACCCACCCATGGCTGTTCTGGCTACTCTCTAAAGCTCAGACCCTGACATTATGAACTGCTACGCAGACCTTTGACTCCTCCACCCTCCAGAGAGGCTTCAGAGAAACCCAGCCTTCCTGGTTGGACTCCATGCTCCAAATACCCGGAGCTCTGAGCTCCCCCGCAACTGGGCAGGAACCGGAGTAACGAGAATTTGAATGCAAAATAGGTTGTGGGAAGTGAGACTTCCCAGGAGGGGCAGACACTGTGGGAGATGAGAGGAAGAGGGTCCAAGGCTGTGAGGGCACACAGGGTCTGGGTGTCTCCTGTCAGAGAGAAACTGCACCAGCCAAAGCTCCACAGGCAAGGGAGACTTTCTTGAGGACTACTGCCATAGGGGTGAGAAATTAAATGTGACTGCATTGAAGGGAAAGGCGGGAGGGTTTTGAAATCCCGGATGAGCTAGTGGGCCAGCATCGGCAGACAAGAGGAACTCGTCCACAGGTTGTGTCAGCACATGGAGTTATTCATGAGATTGCGAAAGTTTACCTCTTTGATTTGGCCAACTGTGTTTGCTCACTGTCACTTACCAAAGTGAGGCCTAGCCCTCCCACAGAGCTCGGGGAGTGGGGCACTGTCTCTCTCCCTGACCTCACAGGCATGGCTCCCAGGTCATTGAGAAAGACATCCTAAGGTTGAAACCTGGCCAGCAGAGGCTTCACCTCCATCTCAAGGGAGGGTTTGTTTTTGTTGTTGTTGTTGTTTTTTTTTGAGACAGGGTCTCACTACACAGTTCAGGCTGGCCTCGAACTCACTATGGAGCCCAGGCCGGCCTCGAGCTCACAGTGATCCTTGTGCCTGAGCCTCCTGAGTGCTGGGATCACAGGTGTGCACCACCATGCCTGGCTAGGAGTACAAATTTTCTAAAGTAAGTGCTTAGGTCTTATTTTGTTTTTCTGTTGCTACGATCCAAAATTACCACAAACCGGAACATGGTTCTAGAGGCTGAGAAGTCCAAAAGCATGGTGCTGGCATCTGGTGGGCGCCTTCTTGTCTCCTAAGATGGTGGAGGGCATCACGTGGCAAGGCAGAGCAAGTATGCTAGCTCGTCTCTCCTCCCCTCTTCTCCTCAGCTTTCTCCTTCTTCTTCCTCTCCTTCATTTCCTCCTCATCCTTCTCCTTCTCTCTCTCCTTTGGTCCTTCTCCTCCTCCTCCCCCTCTCCCTTCTCTGTTTTACTTCTTCTCTTTCTCCTCATAAAACCACCATAATGTCCTCCTCTAACCCTAATGACCTCCCAAAGTCCCCACTTACAAAATATGTTCATGTATGAATTTGGGCATTAAGTTTCCATCCCAGTGAACTTTGAGGAGACGTTCAAATCATAGTAATGCTCTAAGAGATTAGAGGTCAAAGGCCTAGAGTTAGGAAGTTGTATATTGAGACAGGATCTCACTAAGTCACTAAGTTGTTCAGGCTGGGCTTGAACTTGTGATCTTCCTGCCTCGCTCTCTTAAAATAAATTTTCTTCTAAAGGTTAAAATGGTCTATCATGCTGGCTAAAACATTTGGAGATTTGGCTGGTTCTCTCTCCCTCTCTCTCTCTCTCTCTTTTTCTCCCCTCCTCTCTCTTTCCTTCTCTTTGAGTCTCTCCTCTCTATTTCTCTTAATGCCTCTCTGTGGGTTGGTTCATTCATTATCACAAATATCCCTGGAGCCCCCAGGATATCACAGCCTGATGGAGAACACAGACACCGCCCAGATTACTTTCACTTGATGGGGCTGGGAGACGGGAAGGTGTCTGAGGTTGAGGAGGGGCAGCTGAGTGGGAACAGTGGGGTCATAGAAGTTGTTAGGAGATCACACGTGTTAAAATACAACCCCCCCCAGCCATTTTATATCTTACTTCCGGGTTCTTTCCCGACTGAGTCCTTTCTCCCACCGAAATTGTAAAGCGCGAAATTCAAAAGACAACCTGGCTTGCAATAGGATAACAAAGACCGCTTCTCCCAAGGAAGGATCTTCCATTGCCCGTCCTATAAATATCCCAGCGCTTCCTCTTCTCGCTCTCTCACTCTCTGCCTTCCGCCTCCTGCTCACCTCCCTATAATAAAAATCTCCTGCCGGACCTCTCGGTGAGTGAGTGGCATAATTGGGTAAGGGGCACCCAAAGGGGGCTCGAGACCCCTTTCAGAAGTCTGTGGGAAGGAACAGTGCATGTGTCTGAGAGTCAGACATGTGGCCCCAGGATAGGAAACTGTGTCTGAGTGTCGCGGAGGTGTGTGTTTCAGCGGGGGGAAGAGAAATGAAGAGGCCAGATGTGGGGAGGAGGATAGATAGGAGAGACCAGCCAAACACAAATCCCATCAAAAGTAAAGGTTATAGGATCTTAACCCATCCTCAGAGCCAGGTCCCAAGTCCTCTCTCCTTCAAGACCCAGGACTCATCTGGGGCCCATTGAGATCACCTAAAGGAAGCCACCCTATGTAAGGGAGGGTGGGGCGAGGAATCCTGACCCAGCCTGATGGCATAGCAGGGAGAACCAGCCAGACAGCAAGTCAGAGTCGAGGAAGCTCACACCTCAGCTATACACTCACAATGGGGAGTCTCAGGGACATTCTGCTCTGTCTCTTTGGAACCATGCTGCTCTGCCTGACAGGTACCTAAAATTTGAGTTCAATAGTAGGAAGGGCCTGTAGCCTGGACCCCTGAGTCTGAGAGAGGAGGCTGGGCCTGGACCCCCGAGTCTGAGGGAGGAGGGTGGGCCTGGACCCTGTGTCTGAGGGAGGAGGCTGGGCCTGGACCCTGTGTCTGAGGGAGGAGGCTGGGCCTGGACCCCCAGGTCTGAGGGAGGAGGCTGGGCCTGGACCCCCGGACCCTGTGTCTGAGGGAGGGGCCTAGCCTGGACCCCTGAGTCTGAGAGAGGAGGCTGGGCCTGGACCCCCGAGTCTGAGGGAGGAGGGTGGGCCTGCACCCTGTGTCTGAGGGAGGAGGCTGGGCCTGGACCCTGTGTCTGAGGGAGGAGGCTGGGCCTGGACCCCTGTGTCTGAGGGAGGAGGCTGGGCCTGGACCCCTGTGTCTGAGGGAGGTGGCTGGGCCTGGACCCCTGGATCTGAGGGAGGAGGCTGGGCCTGGATCCCTGTGTCTGAGGGAGGAGGTTGGGTCTGGACCCCTGGATCTGAGGGAGGAGGCTGCGTCTGGAGCCCTGTGTGTCTGAGGGAGGAGGCTGGGCCTGGACCCCTGTGTCTGAGGGAGGAGGCTGGGCCTGGACCCCTGTGTCTGAGGGAGGTGGCTGGGCCTGGACCCCTGGATCTGAGGGAGGAGGCTGGGCCTGGATCCCTGTGTCTGAGGGAGGAGGTTGGGTCTGGACCCCTGGATCTGAGGGAGGAGGCTGCGTCTGGAGCCCTGTGTCTGAGGGAGGTCAGCTGGAATTCAGACTCCTGAGGAAAGCACCTAGGAACTATCTCCACTTGGTTTCCCCCCTGCACACGCATACATTCCTCCAGTGTCTGTCATTTTCTCTGGCATCTGTCTTCCCGCACACAACTAATTTGCATGTCTGTGTACATCTGCGGGACAGTTTGGCTCCTGTATGTGTCACTGTGCCCTTATGAGTTTCCATGCTTGTGTGCGTTTCTCTGGACCAGATTTCAATGTCTTGAGTTTGAGTAAGTGCTTTAGTGGGTCTGTTTATCTCTGAACTTCACTCTCTCTATAACGGTTTTCCAGCATACTTTTATGGTCTTATTTCCCCGTATCTCTAATTTTGCATAATCGTGGCCTCACCTAACATTTGTGCACTTGTGTTTCTTGGGTCTGCATTTCTCTTTGTCTCCGTGTCTCACTACTTCTGTCTCACTGTCTCTGGATGGGTTTCCTGGTCCCTCTAAATGTTGTCACTGTTGTCACATGTGAGATCGCCCTCCCGGGCCCACCTCAGCTTCTGTGAGGCCATGTGCTCTGTGCTGGGCCCGTGGCTGGGCGTCCACCCTGCAGGGCCCAGTGAGTATCTGGTATGAGAACCAGGACGAGCAGGCTGCGTCCTGCTGTATATTTGTGGGCTGAGCAGGAGCCGTGTCGGTCGTGTGAGTTTGCCTGTGTCAGCGTGTGTGCTCTGTGTGCTCTGTGTTGCTGGGCTAAGTGTGTATGTGTGGTCCACCTCGCAGCACACTGTGCCCTTGGTGGTGCCCTGTGTCCCAGTGGCGGTGGCTCTCATTTAGTGCCACTGTGCCTTGCGAGAGGGGGTTGTGGGAAGGGATGCGCAGAGCAGGAGTGGATGAGTCACTTCCTCCTCCCTTATCTCCGTCTCTGAGGCCCTCCTGGAGGAGGGTGGAGAGCTTGGATAGCTTGGAGGAAAAAACTAGACTGGCAGCTGCAGTCCACGCATTACTGTGACCTGGCCGCAGCCGTGACCTGCTGCAGCAGTGGACCCTGTTCCTGGGCCAGCAGGCCTGGCCGTTGCTGGTCCGCTGACCACCACACCCTCCTCTAGGGTCCCGAGCCCTGCAGTGCTACAGCATGGAGCACATCTACTTCGGGCACTTTGACCTCAGTGCCTTGCAGCTCCCCAACGTCTCCTGTCCTTTAGGGTGCTCAGAAGTTGTCATGTCCCTGGACACTGGTGAGGGGCTGGGAGACAGGAGAAAAGGAGGGGTACAGAGGTGAAGAATGGGGGGAGGTTGGTAGAAGTGGAGGGAAAAGGGTGGGTGTGGCGGCACAGGCCTGTCATCTCAGCACTCTAGGAGGCTGAGGCAGGAGGATCACAAGTTGGAGCCCAACCTGCCCAACTTAGCAATTTAAGGAGACCTCTTCTCAAAATAAATAAAAATAAAGAGCTGAGGGTGTGGCTCGGTGGGAAGGCCTTGTGTTCAATCACCAGTGACACAAAAACAAAGAGGAGAGAAAGGATAAGGCTAGATGGAGGGAGAGGAAGAAGCAAGTAGCTAAGGGCGAAGAGATGCAGAGAGGAGAAGCACGAAGGAAGGAAAGCAGCAGGAAGGAGAGGGCAGAAAGGAGGAGCGGGTGGGGCGTGGGGGGAGGGGCTGCTAGGAGAGGAGAGGACAGCTGGAGAGAGAGCAGCGTGGCCAGGACGGGAGCAGAGGGAGGAGGG